TTGAGACAGAGTCTTGCTCTGTCGCCCAGGCTAGAATGCAGTGGCGTGATCTCGGTTCACTGCAACCTCTGCTTCCTGGGTTCCAGCAATTCTCATGCCTCAGCCTCCCAAATACCTGGGACTACAGGCACATGGCACCACCCCCACCTAATTATTTATTTATTTATTTATTTATCTATTTTTTAGTAGATGGGGTTTCACGATGTTGCCCAGGCTGGTCTCAAACTCTGGAGCTCAGGCAATCTGCCCATCTGGGCCTTCCAAAGTGCCAGGATTACAGGCATGAGCTGTTGTACTTGGCCTGTCATACACTTTTTAAGCACATGTGGAACATTTACAAACATTAAGTAGACTAGGAAAGACAACAAATCTCAATGAATTATAGTACCTGCTGTCCCATCCCTGAAATGAGACCACATACTCATTCCCTAGCTGCTGTGGGATTCATTGCTCACAGCTCAAGATTACCCCTTCACTAGAGAATTACCCTCAGTCAACGGGGGTGGGGGGACTGCCTTGCAGGAAGTTGTAGCACGGTCTACCCTCGAGCCTTTAGCTGATAACTGACTGATATGGGCTTACAAAAGGCTGACCCCTGGCCTCAAAAGTGGGCCTGATTTTGAGGTATAATCCCTGCTCAGAGCTCCTTGGGATCAGGCTGAAGCAGGCGCTAACCAAAACCACATCCTCGTCTCCCTTTCTTCCCCTGCCCTATCCCTCGTTCTCCTCAGAGCGTTCTCTTAAAGTATTACTTGCACGAGAACCCTCATCTCAGGCTCAGCCTCTAGGGAAGCGGCGCTAAAACAATTACAGGTTCTGATTGCTAAGATTCCTTCTAAATTATTAGTGCATAGGGAGACGGGGTCAGGGAGGAGTTGGGGAGCCTGTGGAGGGCAGAGGCCCTTTTCCCCTTTACTCAGGCTGAAGAAGGAAGGCAAGGTGGTAATTTAAGGAGCTGGCCTTAAACTTGTTGCTAGGGCATCACATTCTTTTTATTTTTATTATTTTTTTTGAGATGCAGTCTTGCTCTGTCGTCCAGGCTGGAGTGCAGTGGCATGATCACGGCTCACTGCAACCTCCACCTCCTGGGTTCAAGCGATTCTCCTGCCTCAGCCTCCTGAGTAGCTGGGACTACAGGCGCCCACCACCACAGCCGGCTAAGTTTTGTTATTTTTAGTAGAGATGGGATTTCAGCATATTGGCCAAGCTGGTCTCGAACTCCTGAGCTTATGATCTGCCCCCCTCGGCTTCCCAAAGTACTGGGATTACAGGCATGAGCCACCATGCCGGCCCACATTCTTAAAAATTGCTTCTGAGTTCACGTGGGTCAGCTGTCTTCCCTTCTTATTGTTTGCTACAAGAAGTGGTGGGAAGATTGCTTGAGCCCAGGAGTTTGAGACCTGCCTGGGCAACATGGTGAAACCCTGTCACTACAAAAAAGGATATAAATTAGCTGGACGTGGTGGCACATACCTGTAGAAGCTCAAAAGCTTTGCTTGAGAGCAGAGTTCCTAGGAAGAAAATGAAACAATCTGGCTGGGTGTGGTGGCTTACGCCTGTAATCCTAGCACTCTGGGAGGCTGAGGCGGGCGGATCACAAGATCAGGAGTTTGAGAGCAGGCTTGGCCAAGATGATGAAACCCCATCTCTACTAAAAATACAAAAATTAGGCCAAGAGTGGTGGCTCACTCCTGTAATCCCAGCACTTTGGGAGGCTGAGGCAGGTGGATCATGAGGTCAGGAGATCAAGACCATCCTGGCCAACATGGTGAAACCCCATCTCTACTAAAAATATAAAAATTAGCTGGGCGTGGTGGTGTGTGCCTGTAGTCTCAGCTACTTGGGAGGCTAAGGCAGGAGAATATCTTGAACCAGGGAGTCAGAGGTTGCAGTGAGCTGAGATCACACCACTGCACTCCAGCCTGGCGACACAGCGAGACTCCGTCTCAAAAAAGAAAAAAAAAATTAACCAGGTGTGGTGGCGAGTGCCTGTAGTCCCAGCTACTTGGGAGGCTGAGGCAGGAGAATCGCTTGAACCTGGGAGGTGGAAGTTGCAGTGAGCCGAAATTGTGCTACTGCACTCCAGCCT